TGAGTGGGCGTAATAACGTCAACAATATCTTCAGTTTAGCTTCAGTGGCAATATTATAAACGTCAACTGTAATGACACAGTGAACTTCAAATATTGGTTTTCTTATGTTGCAATTGTGAAAAAAAGGAAATGAGGGAACTGTGTGAAAACGATTCATTCATACACATGTATGTACATAATAACAACAAGTGTTCGAGTGGATATCCTGCTGGCACAAAACCCAATAAAATATCCTAGCAAAACAAATAAAGCAAACACAGAAAGAAGAAAAGAAATAGACTGGAAGCGCAATCTACGCATAACGTACTTTCCTGCAAGCCTACGTGTGTATGTATGTATGTATGTACATTAGGGTAGTCCAAAAATGCATGTGGAAAAATTTGAGTCGGAATTTTTATGCTCTCATCCCCTAGGATTGTTGTATATCGAAAAAAATATATCTCTATTTTTTTTATTTTGAAATCAAAAAATATTTAGAGGTTGCTCAAAGCGGTCAAAATTTTGCACGTACATATTTCAAAATCAATATTTTTCTATCGGAAAACTCTGCTTATCTGCAGGAGATTCCCAATTATAATACCCAATTGTTTATCTATTTAACCATTTTTTCATCGCAACTATAATTTATAGGTCCGCCAAAAGCCCACAAAAAAAATGCAATGGGGGGACAAATAAAAAATTGTTAGTATTAAAAAATGCATAAATAAAAAATTGGGTATTATTATTGAAAGTGTCTTGAAGAGAACCAATCGAAAAATATTGATTTTCAAGAATTTTTGCCTTTCCCTTTTTCAACAAAAAGTTGTTATTTTCCCATATAAAAATACATGGATAACTTTGAGCGACTTCTAAATATTTTTTGATTTTAAAACAAAAAAAAAACAGGAGAATACTTTTTTTCGATATAGAACAATCCTAGGGGTGAGAGCATTACAATTCCGACTTTACTGTTTTTGGGCCACCCTTATGTACATACATATGTTTGTATGTATGTATACTATATATTGGTAAATGCTTATACAAACATACCTACACACATACATATGTTTGCACAATACTTAGTGAAGGCCTTTCAAAATAATTGCAAGTCTGAAAAAGAAATCAAATCAAATAAAATAAATGCACTCTGGTGGTAAAATGAGAAAACATATACACATGCAAAAACATTCAGACATACATAAATACATACATACATATGTAGATATGAGCCTTGGTGAAACGAATACACACATCGATATGTTTGCTGCCTGCAAGGCCTGTTTGGTGTCAATTGGGAATACACATCCTCTCGCGCAAAGCCCAACCGCATTACCAAAAACAGCAGAAAGTGAATTTTCATCATTACTAGCAACAAATAAGAAATCAAATAAAGCCTTTTGACAAAGCTTCGATCGAGCAAGAATATTAGAAGGGAGAAAACAAATGCATTGTTAGTTGTACGCAGCTTAGCGTTGAATGTCCCAAGGGCGGTTGCATAAAGCATCATGCTGCAGACTAAATGAAAGTTTTGCAACCAAAAAGGAATAAGAAAGTGATAAAATGGAGCTAAATAGCATACAACTATATTTAGCATGATGTCTTAAAGTTTAAAATTCCTAAAGATTTGTTACAGTAGAGTGTTTACTTTGTTGTGGCAAATGTGATCGAAAAATGTCTAATCCAGTCAGACCTTTCAACGATACCCTGATGCGCAATGTTCCACAGAATTTTGAACGTAAGTGACGTATAGATTTTTTAACACAGCGGCATAGCCGACGAAATTGCTGAATAGGGCACACTTGAAGTTGCTTCTTCTGACCGAAAGGGCATTTGAGTTCCTCAGCAAGTGCCGAAAACATCGGCATCAAAAGTTGTAGGGGACATCTGGCCGGTCGTGCAACATAGGCGGTAAAAACAGCTTCTTAAGCTGAGAATCCGGCAACTCTTGGTGCTAATAGCTCAGCTTCTCAGCTGCTCTGCTTCCGCTAAGCTAAGTTCTAAGCTAGAGATGAGCGCAGGATGTCGGAACGCATGGTACTGATTTCAAAATGGTTGGGGAAACGGAATCGGAAAGGTCTTTAAAAATTTGCGTGCGGGACGGAATAAAAATGATTTCCCGCCACTCTTGATAAAACACGAAACTTCCGAAATTTCATAACATCTTACTTAAAAACGCTGAATGTACCTATAAAATAAGCACTTCTGAGGAAAAGATATCTAAGTTACTGGGCAATCCCTCACTCCGCTGAGTGTATGAAGTTTTATGCTTCCGTACTCAACAAAAAAACGCATATTCTAACATTTTTCTTATTTATAAACCCCATCAAAATATTTTCACCCTAAAACATTCGTGTACATCTTTCGTCGGATACCCATATTGTCACATATATATTTCAATTACCTAATTCCCTTAATCAAATTTAAATTAAACAGGTGGCAACCTTCCTATACGCAGTTTAGATTGAAGCCTTTCAAAATTTCGATTCATACCTATAAAATAAAAAAAAACTCATTTAGCTTATTACATAATTTGAATTTAATTTTTAAACACGTTGCCACCCTATTCAAACACGTAAAGATATTGTAAATGTTCAAACTAAAGATTTATTAATTTGAACACCCATAGTTTAATATTTAATACATCTTGTGTACAATTTAATTAAACTCGACTTTTCAAACAGGTGGCGACCCTATTTGAAATGTTTTCAAGCTTTCGTCTGACAATCAATCGCTACCCTTTTTCAAAATTATTCATACAGATATTGCAATAATCATTGTAATTTATAATACAATTCATGCATTTTGACTAAGACAAAAAAAAAATCGGGAATATACATGTAGCGCCCCTGCTCATACTAAGGATTTTATAACGCTTCTTTTGCTGCCCGGGTCTGTGACGGCGCGACTTCGTCACAATAAGTTGGCTTTACTTTTTCTAGGAATTGAAAAAAACGATAAAGCAATACATAGTTTAATTATTTTAACCTAACCTTAATTATTTTAGTTCTTAAAATTTTTTTTTGTTATTCTTGTGTTGTCAAATAGACAAACTTACAAATACCAGGCGTGCTTCATTGCGCCTTAAAATCACTTTTGTGTTGTTACTCCCTCTCAAAACTCTTGTATAGATTTAAAGAGCTTTATAAATTTTCGATTTATAAAGTATTCTTTATTTTTTACCCGAGCCGGTTCAGTTTTCGTTTCCATGATAAGGCAGAATATTTTTTCGAAGGTATTGTTAACGTATCGATTTTCTTCTGGAAATTTAATTTACAATCTCATAAATCGAGTCTACACATCGCGCACTTTCTTCACATGCGTACTAATTCAATATTTGCCTTATCTTATCAATTTAACTGAACTAAATTTTTAAAAAATATTTTTCGGCAGTACAATTTCCTAAATCTATTTAGTTTCATACCCATATTGCAGTATTGAATTTATCATACCAATTAAATTAAATTATAATTTTCAAACAGGTGGCAAACTTCCACAAAAATATTTTTAGCTGTAAGCCTTCTTAAACCTCTTTCTTTTGACAGTTATATTGCAATATTAACTTTATCGTATCAATTTACTTAAACTGCCTTTTCAAACAGGTGGCAACTCATATTAATTTTTCTATGTTT